ATAAAGGGCACGATGCTCAACAGCAGCTATTGTCCAAAACCGACGGCGGCCGCTGCCGGGCAGGCAACTACTTTTGCCTTCAATGGACAGCGTCCGCGGCGACAGCGACAGCGAACCCGGTTGAAAATTGGCAAAAACTGCGGCCGGCCTTCGCACCCATGCTGTCCGTACCCATTTCGATCGCACGGCCAACCCGCTTAACAAGGACGCCCGACAAGAATGCAAGGGCCTTGGAAGGCCATGTTGACACTCCGCGAGCGGGGCGCGGCCAGCGAAGGCGGCCACGGATGGGTCGAAGCGGAAGGATGCAAATGCAACCTTGGAAAGTCGTTCACCCTTACGATTGAGGAGAACAGTTGTCGTGTTGGGAGGAAGGGGTTGGGAGGGAGAAGGGCATGAGCAATAGCATCCGGATGCAATGCACGATGCCTCCGGCCGCCTCCGGGTAATGAAGTCATGATACCCTCATCTCTCCCAACCCCATCTGCGAGGCGGGGATTTATCCATATCCACCGCCTGGGAACCGACGTCCTGGTGCCCCAACGGGCGGTGGATATGGACATGGATACATTTCGGCCCCTGGGGGCCCGAATGTGTCCATACCCACCGCCTGCCCAGGCCCCGAAAACTGACCCCCCGGGCGGTGGTCGTGTAGAAACTCCCGCCCCGGACCGCCCTCCCAACCCGACATCTCTCTTCCTGAGCTGTGCGGGTCGACGGTACCGAATCCCCCCCCCGCGCCGTTGCAGCGCCCGGCGGCGCCCATGGCGCGCGCCCGGCCGCGCCAGCGGGGCGCGCGGGGCGCCCGCGCGGCGAGGCTCTCGAGCCGCGCGGGGGCCGCGGGCCGCACCCCCGCCGACAAGGCGGCGCGCTGTGGGGGCCGCGGTGCCGGCGGTGGGCCCAGCCAGAGGGCCGGGAGTTCTGCTGCTCCTCGCATCGGCGGCGAGCTGGGAGGGGGGAAAAGCGAGAAGGGGGGGCGGGCGTTCTCGGAAGGCTCGGACATCCCCCCGGTCTTCTGAGAAGTTGTCTCAGCTTTGCCAGGCGACGCAGGAAACGGCTCAGGGGGCAGGAGGCGTTATGAGAAGCCCCGCCGCTTCATGATAATCTATGTTCCTTCTCACTTCTCCCCTCGTTCGCCGCCGATCAAAGAAACGAAGTTGCCGACAGCCACGTACTTATCATACGTCATATTGCATTGCGAAGCTGCTCGCATGGCCACGAGACTCGTGAGACGATGCCGGAACGATGAGGAGGGAGGACGAGGAGGAAGTAAAGTGGGCCACGTCAGAGGGCAAGGATGTGCCTAGAGGATTCCCAGGGTTCGTGACTCGAGGTTCGAGGTTTTCGGTTGTTTTCGTCGGTTGTCGGCGGCTCTCCAGCCACGGGGGCCGAGGTACCTGTGATCGACCCGGTCAGAAGACAAGGACGCGTCTAGAGAGTTCCCGAATTGGGTGCGAGTAGATGGGGTCGGAGCATCGCGCCACAACGCCGATGCATCGTCGATGTGGAGAAAAACTTGCTCCACATCGAGCCCCATCGCCGATGCACTGGCAACGCGGAGCGAACCTTCGATCCCATCTATTCGGACCCCATTTGGCATGCCTGAGAATGCCAAAGGATACCGAGGGTGCGCATTTCGAGGATCGAGGGTTTCGGGAATCGGTCCTCGGCGACGTTCCAGCCTCCGGATGCTGTCCAGCAGCTGCGCCTCGCCGAGGGCGTTCCAGGGGTGCCCGCATCGCCCAGAACGGCCCTCAGAGATCCGAGTTATGGCCGAAGCTCGAAGGGAAAGGCCCCTGATCGCCGACGGTCACATGTTTCAGTCCCGGCGCCGTTCCTCGGCCTCCAGGGCCCGTCATCAAGGTAAGGTGGCGTGGATGCCAGAGTTAGGATTTGTTTTGTTGTTGTTGTTTGTTTTGTTATGTTATTTGTTTGGTTGTTTTAAGTGTGTGGATGCCAGAGCTAGGAGGTGCGATATCGAATTGCAGACGTGCAGAGCAGCCTTCGATGGAAACCCAAGCCTGAAGAGCACGGGAGCGGCATGGCAACAGATGCGGACCGAGTGGAGGACGCCTCACTTCCATAGCGGTGCTCTCGCCGAACACCTCGCGCTGTGTTGTCCTACCTCCTACCTCTCCTGCATGTCTTGTGTTCTGCGACCGCGCTTCTCGAAACCATTGCAGTTGGCTTCCCTCCGCTTTCATTGCGCCGCCCCAGCCCTCACAAAGCGGTTGGCCGCCGCCGCTGTGCATGCCGTGCTTAGCTGCCGGCCGCACTACCTTGTTGCGCGGACCGCCGCCTCCGCGGATGTTTGCGCGGGCATCCCCGGGTACGCAACAACGCCGCGCGCGACCCGTGATGGGGGCCACCTCCTTCCCGAGGCGGATCATTGCCGACCGCGAGCCCCCGCCTGAAACGGTAAGCCCACGGGGCGCACGTCGTTCCTGGAGACGCTTCCCTCATTGAAGAGGAACGCCTGCAGGGCACCTCGTGAGAGAGGGGGGACCTGGCACGAGATGGCGCCTTGCAGCACCGTTGACGTCTCCTGGGCCCCAGGGCTGCACGTGATGGCCCTGGTCCTCGAGCGCAGCAACAACAAAAAAAAAAACATCCCGCTCTCGCCATCGCTCGGACGTCCTTTCCCTGTGCATTGTTCGATGTTGTGCGTGTTCTCGCCGACAGAAAAAATCACACGTCCGAGCGACGCCAAATGCTCCATCTCCGTGCACGGCTTGGCCGTGCGATCCGGTGTTGGACCAGCCCCATTATGGACGCGGCCGTCTTAGGATTCCGAGAGAAATCGTCTGGTCTCACAGTGTTGTGAGGCGCCTGCGCATATACAGGGAAAGCGAGCCTTTCACGAGAGGGAGAGGTGAGACCAAGCCGAGCGATGGGACCGTAACTGCCCTGGTCCTCCTCCTCCGCCTCAGCGCCTCCTCCTCTCCTTCCTCCCCTCCTTCTCCTCCTCCTCCTCCTCCTCCTCCTTCTCCTCGTCCTGCTCCGGCTCCCTCTCCTGCTCCTGCTCCTGCTCCTGCTCCTGCTCCTCCTCCTCCTCCTCCTCTCCTCCTCCTCCTCCTCCTCTCCTCCCTCTCCTCCTCCTCCTCCTCCTCCTCCTCCTCCTCCCTCCTCCTCCTCCTCCTCCTCCTCCTCCTCCTCCTCCTCCTCCCCTCCTCTCCTCCTCCTCCTCCTCCTCCTCCTCCCCTCCTCCTCCTCCTCCTCCTCCTCCTCCTCCTCCTCCTCCTCCTCCTCCTCCTCCTCCTCCTCCTCCTCCTCCTCCTCCTCCTCCTCCTCCTCCTCCTCCTCCTCCTCCTCCTCCCCCAGAGGTCCCCGGAAGTCCCCCGAGCTCCCCAGGTGCCCCTTCGCCTCGGGAGGCCCCTCCTGGAGGCCCCCAAGGAGGGGCAGAGGGCGTTCAGCAGCCTCGAGGCCTCAGGCCCTCCCAAATCCTCCCCGAGGAGAGAGCAAGGCCCATCTTTGCGCGCCCCTCCTCCTCCTCCTCCCTCTCCCTCCTCCTCCTCCTCCTCCCTTCCTCCTCCTCCTGCTCCTCCTCCTCCCTCCTCCTCCTCCTCCTCCTCCTCCTCCTCCTCCTCCTCCTCCTCCTCTCCTCCTCCTCCTCCTCATCATCATCATCATCATCATCATCATCATCATCATCATCATCATCATCATCATCATCGTCATCATCATCATCATCATCGTCATCATCATCATCATCATCATCATCCATCATCATCATCATCATCATCATCATCATCATCATCATCATCATCATCATCATCATCATCATCATCATCATCATCATCATCATCATCATCATCATCATCATCATCATCATCATCATCATCATCATCATCATCATCATCATCATCATCATCATCATCATCATCATCATCATCATCATCATCATCATCATCATCATCATCATCATCATCATCCTCCGCTTCCTCCCCCCACTCCTAGCCCTTTCGATCAGGGTCGGCGGCACCGGCCGTCAGGCCTCTCCAATCCTCCCCGAGGGGAGAGCAAGGCCCATCTTTGCGCGCCCCGCCCCCGCCCTCCACAGAGGTCTCGAACCAGGCCGGTTTTCCGCCATTTCTGACCCCTGATAGCCCTTACCGGGCCTCGGGACTGCCAAAAGACGAATCGCGATGAAAAACCAGTCCTGGAAAGTGGGTCCCGAAGACTGCTGCCCTCCAACGGGTCGCGCCCCCTCCAGACATCCGACGACCCATGACTTTTGCCCACCCGCGGCCCCAGGGCTCCCGATCCCTTCCCCCAGTAGGGAGCCCACAGAGGACGTACGCGCCCAACCACGTGCATGAACACGGCCCCCCAATCCGCGAGACCGCCCGCGCGATACGAACGTTCGCGCAATGCGGTACTCTCGAAACCAAAGTGTATTCATGTACGTTTACGTCCTCCTCGTCGCTCCTGACCCACGGTAGCTAGCTTTTCGCCTGGCCCCGGGGCCCGCTCACGGGCCTCGTGGGGCCCCGAACTCGAAGCAAACCGCAGGGGTGGAACGAAAATCATAGATCGTCGGCGATCTGTGCCCCCCCCCTCGACGAAACGCAAGGTTTGACCCTGGGTAAGAGGGGCCTTTGGTGCGCGGCGCTTCGGCGGCCGCGGGGGGACCAAAAACACAGGCGTGCCAAGCCGCTAAATCACCGAATCGCGTTCGGCGATCGGGGGGGCCCCAGTGGGCCCGCACCAAAGGGTCACTCCGGCGAAGGGTCACTCTTACGTCTAGTCGATCCCTGAGCCTGTTCTTTCAGTTAAACGACTCAGGCAAGTTTACTTGCATGGCATGGCGTTCGCCCTCGCCCCCACCCCTCGCCCTTCTTCCAACGAGCACTGGCGTGCAAGTGCCTTTCGCCTTGCGTGATTTCCAAACGTGCGCATCGCTTGCGGCTTGCTTCCGGCTCAGGCCCCCCCCCGCGCCCATGCACGGAAACCTACCGGAATCTCCAAAAAACAGGCTCACCCCCCCCCGCCGCCGGGGCCTTCCCGGCGCGGCCGCGGGCGCGGCCCCCAGCGCCGGCGCCGAGGACGCCCGGGCCAGGTGCTCTCGCTCCCAGGCCTGGGAGAGGGAGGGGGCTTCTCTCTCCTCGAGAGATCGCTCCCCCGCCAGCTCCATCGATGAGTAATCACACAAGGAGCCCTAACCCGTTGGGAGGGGACCTACTATAAGTTAGGAGGGCCAAAAGCACTAGGGATATGGGGGGCAGTTCTGCAGATGTATCAAGCCAAACCGCCCAAGGCAATTTCGGCGGTGGACAAACCTTCCTTTAGTAAACCTCCCGTTCGTGAAAACGGCCTGGGACCGAAATCGACGCACCTGGACCCGCAAAAATGACGGGCGCGACGCCCTCTCGCGAACCGAAAACGGTCAATTCCTCAATCGACGTGTCAGGGTAGGAGGTCTATCCACCCCCGACAATCTAGCCTGAGCCTTCACCCCCAGAACTCCGTAGAGGCTCAAGGCTAAACGTTGTGAAGGGCTATAGACGCCTGAGAATCAGCGATTAGCTTTGGACCCCTCCGTAGCCTGCCTGGCCCAGGAGGCTTGGGGCTTTCCGCCCACGGCACCTCTCTGATCGCCCCCTCTTGTGATTTATCGTTGCGGGCGCACGCTATCTGATAGCTGCGAGCGATGAATGCAGGACATGGGAGCCAGACGGAGATCCTCGCGGCCCTCGACGAGGCGCCGACCTTCCCGTCCCAGGAGATGCGCCCCCCACGTGTGCCGACTGCGAAAGCTGCTGCTGCTGATCGTAGCCGTAGTCGTGGTGCTGCCCCAGACCCAGGAGCTGCCATCGCGGTTGATGACGACTTCCAAGATGCAGAGGACGATCTTCGGTCATATGTGGACGAGACTAAGGCCTCCCTCATGGCAGCCATTGGAAAAGTTCAAGCCTCCGTCTCCTCGTTGGCCACCGCCGTCACGTCCTCGTGCAACGACTTGTCGAAGAGGGTGGAAGTTCTTTTGGCATCGGTCGAGTCCGTCCGAGAGCTACTACGACAAGAGTCGACGATCTCGAGCGCAAAGTACGTGAACTACACACAATATTGGGTATCATGCAGAGTGAGGCGCCTCCAACGCCTGCTCCTCAATCAAGCAATTTTGACCGGCCCCCTGATCCAGCGATCATTGTGTGCCGCACAAAGACAAACGTGGCGAAGCAACATATTCTTCCTCCGCTCATGTCGTGGCTCTCTCGTGCGATGCTCTCCGAAGATGACCTTCTCGTCGAGTCTGAGCCGCTGTCCAAGAGGTTCCACATCAGGATCAAGGGCAGTGTGGCATACGCGTCGAAGAAAGTGGGGATGGCATTGGGTGCTCTACGTACGGGCCCTTCGAGTTGGGAGCGCTTCCAGGTCCCAGATGTGGATGGAGTGCCAGTGGAAATTCATGTTTCGGCGGACAAGTCGCCGTGTCAGGTTAAGAAGGAGTTGCTGCTCAAACAATGCAGACGGGTGGTGGAGAACCAGTACCCCAACATGCGAGTGTACGTCAATAAAGACCGTGGCGAGTTATCCGTCTCGTGGAAGCCGATCCTCAAGGTGGAACCCGTTCAGAACGACGTACCCAAGGTCGAGTGGGCCATGGGCAACATGGCCGCGGTCGGGATCTCCCGTGAGCGCCTGGAGCCTGGCATTTTGCCACTCCTCCAGGGCCCAGAACCCACCGTGTGGTGCGGGTAGCACCCTCTTTCGGCAGTGGCAAGGAGCACTCCCTCATCCTCGTCCCATCTCCTTCGTGACTTGGAACGCCCGCTCCCTCTTCCACCACAAGTTACCCCTTCGTGCTCGCAAGCTCTCCTACCTCTCTAAGCTCTTAGCCGACGGTGCCGTTGTCAGTGTGCAAGAAGCCCGAGGGTCCCATCATGAACTACAAGACTTTCTATATCATTCTCATCTACCCGTACAAGCATTCTCCTCGTTCCTCCCGAACTTCCCCTATCCCAAGGGCGGGGTCATCACCTTCCTCCCCATGTTCTCGCTGAGCCTCCTCCTCCTCCTCCTCCTCCTCCTCCTCCTCCTCCTCCTCCTCCTCCTCCTCCTCCTCCTCCTCTCTACTCACAGGCGCAGCGCGACACATCTGCTTGGTGAGAGCTGGAATTGCAGGCGAGCGGCCACGCAAACACGCAGCTCGCTGGCACATTGACGCGCTGCAGACGCGGCCGCAAGTATCCCTCGCAGGGAACCCAACCCTGAAAACCCGCGCGCGAGATGCAAGTTGGGGAGCGGCCAGGACGGGGGCCTTCAAGAGGGGGGGGTGCAAATCGTGACCGGCGGCATGTGCGCGGCCCAGGGGGGGGCCAGGGACGTGATAAAATAAGACGAGGCGCCAAGAAATCTGGGGAAATATCATGGCCCACGCCATGATATCCACCGCCCCCTAGTCATCACCCCCCTCTTTGCCGCCCCCGACAAGTGTGGGGGACACCCAGAGCACATGAATGAGCAGCTTCGTCAACGTCTGCGGGAAGTCACCGCACAGCACTCGAAGCATCTGGTTTTTCGATGCGCGTCCCCACTGCCCGGGCAAATTGAGGCTTGGCCATGGACATCAACACCGCCATCATCAGATCACGAATCCTCCAGGGTCTGAAGCCTTCTGGACATATCCGCCTCCGTGCCCCCTGGCACGTCGAGACGTGGAAGAATGTCAAAGTCTGTCTGGTAGGGCTTTTGAGTTCTAATAAGGGGCCTCACTTCCTCTACCCGCAGACTGCCGCATGCATCGCCCCTCCTTTCCGAGGCCACTTCCCAAGTGTCCTCTCGAGGATGGTGCACTTCCAGCATGGCAGCTAAGACCGAATCCCCCGTTCCACACGTGCCCGCTCAAATATGGTGCCCTTCTCGCATGGCAGCTAATGCCTGAACTCTCATTCCATGCGCGCTCGCTTGAGGACTGCGCGCTTCCCGCATGGCTGCTACGTTCTAGATCCCGTATCCCACGCGCACCCGCTCGAGGATTGTGCACGTCCCGCATTCCCAGGCGCTGCTCCCAAGCGCTCCAGGGCCTCCCAAGGCCCAAGATGCGTCGAAGAGGGCCCACGATTCCTTCAAGAGAGCCATACATGGCCACAAGAAGACCTCCAACAGGGTCCGAAGAAGCCCAAAACCATTGTTTCCCTTATCGCATTCACGCCTTTTCGGGCTGCCGTCAGCTCGAGACGGCCCACGAGGACTCCACGATGGCCCAAGAAGCATCCAAGACAGCACCAAGACGGCCCAAGAGGATCTCCCGTGGGACCCAAGACGGCCTTAGAATGCCCTTGGACGGCTCGAAACCAAGACGGCCCCAAGACTGCCCCCAGACACCCACCATACGGCCAAGAGGGCTCCAAGACGGCCTGAGAGAACGGCAAGCCGGCGCAAGAGGGCCTCAAGACGGCCCAAGAGAGCCCCAAGGAAACCACAAGACTGCCTCACAGGAAGCCGAGGCAGCCCCAATAGGACCCAAACGATTTCCATCATCATCATCAGCATCATCATCATCAGCATCATCAGCAGCATCATCATCAGCATCGTCGTCACCAGCATCGTCATCATCATCAGCATCATCACCATGATCATCATGATTATCATCATTATCACCATCATCATTATCATCATCACCATCACCATCATCCAAATAATCACCACCATCATCAACATCATCATCCGCATGGTCCTCATCATGGTCATAATCATCATCAGCATCATGATTAGCATCATCGCCATCGTCATCATCAGCACGATCATCACCACCCCAACATCATCATCACCATTACCAGCATCACCACAAGCATCATCATCACCACCATCATCATCATATGCATCATCATCATCATCGACACCGAAACTGCCGCCAACATCTTCATCGGTCATCGATCGCCGATGGGATCGTTATCAGCACTAGCATCATCGCCATCGATCGTCATCCGCATCACCGTCACCATCATAGTCAGCAGCATCACCGATCACCGAATATCGTCGTCGCCAGAGCCAGCTCCACAGTCACCATCGATTATTCATAACCCATCATCAACATCATAATCACCATCGTCATCATCATCATCATCATCATCATCATCATCATCATCATCATCATCATCATCGTCATCCTTACTCTCAGCATCATCGCCATCAGCAGCAGTATCACAATCGTCATGATTATCAGCATCATCATGACCCGCATCAGCATCAACATCAGCAGCATCATCATCATCATCATCATCATCTAGATTATCATCCCCTGTCATCCGCATCCTCATCATCATCATCAGCATTATCATCATCAGCATCATCATCATCATCAGCATCATCATCGTCATCAGCATCATCAACATTACCATCGTCATCATCAGGACCATCGTAATCATCGTCATCATCCCCATGATTCTCATTGTCCTCATCATCCTTATCACGGTTCTCCCAAGCCCGGAGACACGAGGTGTCACACGTGACGGCCTCCCAAGAGGGCCCACCCAAGAGGGCCCCGAGACGCCTCAAGTTCGGCCCGAGACGCCCAAGATGGCGCCCAGACGGCCCAAGAGGCCTCCAAGACGCCCCAAGAGGCTTCCCAAGAGGGCCCCAAACAGCAAAGCACATTGATTATCCTTGGATGTTTGAAGGTTCTTGGCTTTCTCGCCGTTTCGGCTTCCCGACGCTCCCAGACGACCCTAGACCTAGAGGGTCCCCAGGCCGCCCCAAGACGGCCCAAGATGCCTCCAAGAGAGGCTCCCAAAAGGCCCCAGATGACCTCAAGACAACCCAGGAGGCACCCAAAACGGCCTGAGAGGGCCAGACGGCCCCAGAAGGGGCTCAGGATAGGAACACGAACCGAACATCTGAGCCTTCCGCCCCAAGAGGTCTCCAGAAGGCCCCAGGAGGCACCCAGGCCCAAGAGGCCCCCAAGAAGCCCCCGTGAGGCCCCAAGAGGCCCCCCAAGAGGCCCCGAAAAGGCTCCGAGAGGCCCAGAAACGGCCTCCAAGAGGCGTCCAGAGAGGCACCCGAGAGGCCTCCCAGGAGATCCCCACAACGGTTGGGGGAGCACATGGCCCGATACCTTGGCAGAGTTTTTGTCACAACGCTCGGCCACATGGGCGATTCTAGAAGGCGGGGGGCGGCGGTGATTCTCTGTAGGCGTCTTCGATAAAACAAAAACTCACACGATTTGCTACCGGAGACATTCGCCCCACCGCACGTGGGGAAATCAAAAGGTACTGATGCCGCTGTTCCCTGGACTTCTCCCGGGACGCGTTCTGCCTAGAATTTCGAAGCGAAACCAGCGGTGGCGACGAGGGCCACCCAAGAGGCCCAAAGGAGAAAACGAGGGAAGGGTAGCGGTAATTTCGTCACCAGACATCCAGCTGCAACTTTTTCGATGCATGGGCCCCGGAGGTCCAGACCACTTCCCCAAGACCGGTTTTTCGTCCTGAACCGTTGTTTGACGCTCCCGAGGCCAGGCGAGGGCCCCCGGAGGCCAAAAACGGCCAAACATGGCCCGCTCGAATGAACCTTTTTCCCTACCTAGGCTCTGCCTAGAAGGGTTCTTACTCGGTATGCTTAAAGGGCCGGGCAGTGTAACGCGCCCCGGGCGGTTCCCCCAGGATCCGCCCCGCGGTTCCCCCAGTTACGTCCCCTTAGCTTAGCGTTGCTTATCTCATCTTAGCTTAGCTTATTTCATATTAGCTTAGCTTAGGTTCATCTTAGCTCAGCTTACCTTCATCTTAGCTTCGCTGAGCACAGCATAGCATAGCATAGCATAGCTTAGCATAGCATGATATAGCATCACTTAGCATAGCATAGCATAGCATATCATATAATAGCATAGCATAGCGCAGCATAGCATAGCGATTCATAGCATAGCATAGCATAGTGCAGCATACCATGGCATAGCATAGCATAGCATAGCATAGCATAGCAACTAATGCTGCTTTCCTAAGGGCTCCAACTTCTAGGTAGGGTCGCACTGGGGTAATTTTAGACTCCGGCAAATTACTTGCATGGACGGGGGGGGCTGAACCTGAGGCAAGCCGCAAACGACTTGCACGTGCGGAAATCACGCCAGTCGAAAGGCACTCGCCAGTTTTCGTCTGAGGAGGGGCGAGGGGAGAGGCGGGGGGGGTGAGGGGGGGCGAACGCCATGCAAGTAAACTTGCCTGAATCAGGGCCTCTGTTTTCAACGCAAAGAAGAACAATAGGGGGCAAACAAACCTACCTCGCTTTTGACCACCCTCGCTTCCAAGAGATACCAAGCGATGCCAAACTACGGCCTGTATTGGTCAGGCCGCTTGACGAGGAGGCGCGTGGTATGACTTGGTTTTGCCTGGAAGCGAAAGCGGGGTAGGTAATTCACGCTCTGAAGCAACAACAAAAAAGACTCCACGCCCTGCGAGAAGCCCGCCTGCGCCCGTCCGGACCGGCGGAGGGCCGCGGCGCGCGGCGGGTCCTCCGCGCCCCGCACCTCCGCGACGGCGCTCCGCGCCTCCGCCCGGTGCGCGCGCCGCCGCAGGCGCGCCGCCTGCTCGGGGGGGGGCGCTCGCCGCCGTCGGCGTCGGCGCTGTCGTCGTCAACGCCGGCGTCGGCGTCGGCGTCGTCGGCGTCGTCGGCGGCGACGGCGTCAGCGTCGGCGTCGTCGACGTCGGGGTCGTCGTCGTCGTCGACGTCGTCGACGTCGGGGTCGTCGTCGTCGTCGTCGTCGTCGTCGTCGTCGTCGTCGTCGTCGTCGTCGTCGCCGTCGTCGTCGTCGCCTTCGTCGTCGTCGCCTTCGTCGTCGTCGTCGTCGTCGCCGTCGTCGCCGTCGTCGTCGTCGTCCGCGTGCGGGAGCTCCAGCGCCGCGCGAACGCCAGGCAGCCCAGCACTCCGTCGGCGAACCCGGCCGGCTCAGACTGGCCGCAGGCAGGAGGGGGGGGGGCCTTCGGCAGGCCCGCCGCGCGACGCCAGACAGCCTCCAGCTCGGCGGGCAGGCCAGCGTGCGAGGCGGGGCCATGCACGCATCCGCAGCCTGTGGATCCGACGTCCTGAGACCCCAGCGGGCGGCGGGTGCAGGTGTGTGTCACGGTGAGGGCATTCTTGTTATACTCGCGGGCGCAAGCGCCTCGTTTGTATTCATCATGCATCGCGCGGGCGGGGCCCCCAGGAGCGAGCACTTCAAAACGGGCGATGCTCGTCCTCCTGGGGCCCACGGGCCCCCGCGCGCAGCCGCGGCACGCTCGGCGCGGGCCTCGCGCCCGCGGTCCGCGGTCCCGCGCCGCCGCCAGGGACGCGAAGCCGTGCGCCCTGGATAAGGAACCATTGGACAAGGAATCCAGGGTCTAGAAGCTGGTGGAACACCAGCCGTGGATTGGCCATGGATACCACTGCCGACCTCATCAGATAAGGAATCCTCCTGGGTCTGAAGCCCCCTGGGCGCAATCCTTCACGAACGCCCCCACCGCATGTGGGCCCCAGGGGGGCCGAATACAGTATCCATCGACTGCGAAGGTCCCCGAAAACCGATCCCCCAGGTGGTGGTTATATTGACTTGTGGAGTCCCAAAACCTGGGTAGCGGAGCGCCACGAGGGCCTTCCGGCAGCCTCTGGAGAGACCTCAGTGAGGTCCTGAAGAAAAGTTTCGGGAGGAGCTTCTGGAGAGCTTCCTGGCACACGTACTGGGAAGCGCTTAGAAGAGGCCCCTCGGGACACGCTGCAAACTCAAGCAACTTTCAGCGGGGATGCTTCACGGAAGTCGGAACGCGCTACAGGTGGCTCGGGGCTACCCTGCGGTGCCGCCCACCTCCAGCATCAGCTCGCTTCTGCAAGCTCCTGTCAAGCATCGCTTCGTCGCCTTCGGGCAGACGCAGCGGAGATCAGCGCTGGCCATGCCCCCCCTCTGGGAAACTCTCTTAGCTCTCAGAGAGCTATCCCGAATATTGGCGGCGGGCGAGGGGGGGAAGTGAAGGGCAGACCCTCTCAGACGGCTCGGACATCCCCCTGGCCTTCTGGGAAGTGTTCGAAGCTCTCCCTGACGACGCAGGAAAACTCTCAGAAGGCGCGAGGGCGCGAGGGCGTCCGAGAAGCCCCGCCGCCTTCTGAGAAGGCCTCCTCCTTCTCGCTTCCCCCCCCCGATCGCCACCGAGAATAGGTCCCCGCCTCGGACGTCGGACGTGCAGCTGAGCAGTTGCCACCAGAGCCCCCCCCAGGGAGCCGCGACGATCTCAAAAGGGGACAATGTCCAACACGCTGCTTTCCTCGAGCTGGACCGCGGGGAACCATCGTGGAACGCCCGCGCGCCATCGAGTCGCCGCGGGCCGCCTGCCCCCGCCATGGAATCGCGCCGGGCGAGCCGCGGAGGTGCGACCAACGCGGCCCCCGAGGCGGCAGCCTCCGGCACCACCGCGCACCCATGGCCAACCCGGCGGGCAGGAGAGCCCAGAATCGAATCGATAAGTTGGATTGGCGATCGAAGTGGATCGGATCGGCGGAAATCTGCAGCCGGGTCGGGACAGGTCGAATCGGCGGAAATCGGCAGGCCAGCGTTCCTCCAATAAGACATCGGAACCCAAATCGGAATCCCAAATCGAATCAATTCGGAATCGGAAGCCATCGAAGAATCGAATCGAATCGGAGGAATCGAAACGAGCCCTGGGCGGGTGACTCACGGCCTGGCTGTAGCCACCCGGGGCCTCGGCCGGACGCCACCGGTGCGGTCGCGAGGGCCTCCAGCGTTAAGTCGGGCGCGTCCCCCTACAGGGGGATTTTCGACGAAAAAAATAAAAAATACCCGAAAAATGCACCAAAAAGGTCAACAAACGATTCAAAAGATAGTCCCCAGACTATTTTTGAATTATTTTTGGATTATTTTGAGGGTATTCTTTATTTTTCGTCGAAAATCCCCCTGTAGGGGGACAGGCCGGCCCGACTGAACTCCAGCGGGGGCTGCGCGTGCCAGCCGTGCACGCGTCCACGCGCCGGGCACGCAGGGCAGCAGTCCACGGAGACTGGCAGAACGCCAGGGCTCGACCTGAGCAGTGCTTTCCGTCTTCGCCTTTCCTGCCGAACGCAATCAAAACGAAAACGGCTAGCGAGACCGTCAAAACGGCGTTTCGGTCGAGCCCTGCAGAAAACCGAATTGGGCGGCGCCGAGACCTCGAGGAAACACCTTAGCCGACCACCACACACATCTGGCGCACGTTGGGAAACACAGGCCGTCGACTGTGCATGGAGCAACCTTCAGCAAGCCAGCAGTCCACGGAAATGAGCAAACTGAGTTAGGCGGCGCGGACGCCTCGAGGAACCGCCTCGACCCACCAACCACGCATCCGGAGGGCACTGGGAAGCACCGCTGCTCGAAAAAAGATCGAGGGGGCCACCTGACATCACGGCGGCAGCTAAGAATAATGTCACGCCACTGGTACTCGCACGAAGGCGCATCCCTGAATGCAGGCGCTAAAGCTAGGATGTTACCGATGTGCAGGCCCGACATCAGGGTGACTCCCCAACCCAACTAAAGAAAATGTCACGCCGCCGTCACAGGCGCCGAACTGGGCTTGACGAAGGCCGCGACGGTCAACGTAAATTTCCCTTGGTCGAGAGTCTTCGTAGCTTGCTTGTCGTACCTGGTACGGTCTCCCTCCAACTCCTCCTCCTCCTTCTCCTCCTCCTCCTCCTCCTCCTCCTGCTCCTAGTCTCTCCTGCCCATCATTCCCGCCGCCCCCCCCCCCCCCTCCTCCTCCTCCTCCTCCTCTCCTCCTCCTCCTCCTCCTCCTCCTCCTCCTCCTCCTCCTCCTCCTCCTCCTCCTCCTCCCTCCTCCTCCTCCTCCTCCTCCTCCTCCTCCTCCTCCTCCTCCTCCTCCTCCTCCTCCTCCTCCTCCCCTCCTCCTCCTCCTCCTCCTCCTCCTCCTCCTCCTCCTCCTCCTCCTCCTCCTCCTCCTCCTCTCCTCCTCCTCCTCCTCCTCCTCCTCCTCCTCCTCCTCCTCCTCCTCCTCCTCCTCCTCCTCCTCCTCCTCCTCCTCCTCCTCCTCCTCCTCCTCGCCGCCCACAGCCATGGCGGACCCAGCGGGTCTGAGGGGCGTCCCGCAGCCAGGCCGTCCTGCTCGGCGGTGCCCTACTCCTCCGTCCTCAGTTTCCCTCGTCCTCCTCCTCCTCCTCCTCCTCCTCCTCCTCCGCCTCCTCATGAACCATCAGCAACCACATCATCATCATCATCATCATCATCATCATCATCATCATCATCATCATCATCATCATCATCATCATCATCATCATCATCATCATCATCATCATCATCATCATCATCATCATCATCATCATCATCATCATCATCATCATCATCATAATCATCATCATCAGCATCATCATCAACATCATGATCGGCAGCAGCATCATCATCATCAGCATCAGCATCAGCATCATCAGCATCATCAAAACCATCATCCTAATCAGCATCAGCATCATCATCATAACCATCATCAGCATCATAAGCATCATTGAAATCCTCCTCCTCCTCATCATCATCAGCAGCATCATCAACATCGCCATCATCATTAGCATCGTCATCATCATCGTCATCGTCATAGCATCAGCATCACCATCATCGTCATCATCATCACAAGCGTCATCCTAATCATCACCCCCATCACCATCCGCAGCAGCATTAGCACCAGCACCAGCATCAGCATCAGCATCATCATCACCACCAGCATCATCACCATCATCAGCATCATCCTCATCATCATCATCATCATCATCATCATCATCATCGTCATCATCATCATCGTTGTCGTCGCCGCCGCCGTCGTAGTCGCCGTCGCAGTCGCCGTCGACGTCGCCGTCGTCGTCGTTCTCGGCGGCGTCCGCGTCGGTCGTCGTCATCGTCATCGCCATCGCCATCGTCATCGTCATCGTCGTCCTCCTCATCACCCCACATAGATCCTATTCTCTCTCTCTCTCTATCCCTCCCTCCCTCCCTCTTCATCGTCCTCCCCCTCCTCGCGTTCGTTCTCTTCCTCCAGGGGCGAGCAGAAGGCCAAGGACGCCCGAAACCAGCGGTGGCACTGGTGGCGATCTGGGCCTTGCGCGCAACGGCCAGCTCCGCGTGCCAGGCCTCAGGGCGGGAAGGAAGAGGGGGAGAGTGAGGAGGGAGAGAGTGAGAGAGAGAAGGTCCCTGACTGCTTCGAGTTGCGAAAACTTGTCGAATGACCCAACCACATGCACTTGTCAGTACCGCGTTGTGGCCATCGCTTTCGGTGGAGCTCCCTATGGGGCCACGGAACGTATGAGGGGAGTGCCGAAACGGGCGTGACTCCACACATGCGAGCTGCGCCACGGGGGCACTCGATGGAGCTCCCCATGGGGCCACGAATCGTGTGAGGAAAATGCCGAAGTGGGTGGGGAACCGCATGCGAACTGCCCCACGGAAGCACGTGGTGAAGCCTCCGGTATGGCGCCACATAATGAGTGAGGATTGTGCCGAAGCGGGTGGGGAAGAGTATGCGAACTGCATCACGGAAGCACTGGGTGGGGCTCCCTGTGGGGCCACGAAACGTGTGAGAGGTGTGCCGAAACGGGCGTGACGCCCACATGCGAACTTGGCCATGGGGGCCGTAGATGGGGCTCCCTGTGGGGCCACGAGACGTGTGAGGGGTGTGCCGAAACGGGCGTGACGCCCACATGCGAACGGCGCCACGAACTCGGTGAAGCTCCCTACGGGGACACGAAACGTATGAAGGGTGTACCGAAACGGGCGCCATATGGGACCGCGAATCGTGTGAGGGGCGTGCAGAAACGGGAGTGACGCTCACATGCGAACTGCGCCACAGAGGCGCTCGCTTGAGCTCCTTGTGGAGCGACGCCGCGTGTGAGAGGTGTGCCGAGACGGGCGTGACGCCCACACGCGAATTGCGTCACAGAGGCATTCGGTGTAGCCCCCTGTGGGGACACGAAACGTGTGAGGAGTGTGCCGAGACGGGCATGGCGCCCACATGCGAACTGCGCCACGAGGCATTCGGTGGAGCCCCCTTATGGGGTCAGGAAACGTGTGAGAGGTGTGCCGAGAAGGGCGTGACGCCCGCATGCGAACTGCGCCACGGAGGCACTCGGTGGAACTCCCCATTGGGCCACGAAACGTGTGAGGAGTGTGCCGAAACGGGCGTGACGCCCACATGCGAACTTGGCCATGGGGGCTGTAGATGGAGCTCCATGTGGGGTCACGAGACGTGTGAGGGGTGTGTCGAGACGGGCGTGACGCCCACATGCGAACTGCGCCACAGAGGCACTCGGTGGAGCTCCCTAGGGGGCTAGAAAGCGTGTGTGGGGTGTGCCGACATGGGCAATGATCATGGTGATGACGACGACGACGGTGGTGATGATGCTGCTGCTGCTGCTGCTGCTGCTGATGATGATGATGATGATGATGATGATGATGATGATGGCAATGGTGATGGTGATGGTGATGGTGATGGTGATGGTGATGGTGATGGTGATGGTGATGGTGGTGGTGATGATGATGATGACGATGACGATGATG